AATTACCCGGTCTCCCCATAGTAAACAACTCCCTTGCACCGATATCTCGTGTTGACGAACCACAAAGGCTTAAATTCTGCGCCAAACAGGCCCGTTGGCCATCCCCTCCAAACCTAGTTCAAAAGTTTTTTGAATGTCACATCTTTAACCGAGTGCTTGGCCACAGCAGCAGAAGTCATGAGGCCAGAGGCCAGGCAGTCAATGAGGAGAACAGGAATGCCCGGGGTCGGGTCGTCCAATAAGTCAGGCAGAAGGCATCTGCTGAGGGCATCGGAATGTCCCAAGGTCTTTCCGGGCCGGTGAACAAGTTTATAGCAGTACGTCAACAAGAAGATGGCCCATCTCGGGGTCACCCAAACGGGGTGACAAGGCCACCGGCATAGGGCGGTCACCCGTCAAAAGTCCCAATAAAGGTGTGTGGTCCATAACCAATTCAAAATCCCTCCCAAACAAATATTTGTGAAACTGCTTGACCCCGGCCACCGCAGCCAGTGCTTCCCTATCCAGCTGGCTATAGTTTCTCTCCGCACTGGATAGCGTCCTGGAAAAGGACACTATCCAGTGGGCCTCGGTCCCATTAGGGAGACGGGGCCTCGGTCCCATGAGGGAGACGGTGGCTAAGCACAGCCCCCACACTGAAGGGAGAGGCATCACAAACCAGTACCAACGGCAGAGTGTCATTGTACTGGATTAAAAAACTGTCAGCAGAAAGGAGGCTTTTCACCGCTGCAAAAGCGGCAGCTTCGTTGTGCCCCCAGACCCAAAGGCTCTTCTTGGCCAGTAGCTTGTGGAGTGGTTCAGCAATGGTGGCTTTATTTTTTAAGAAGACGCTATAGAAATTGAGCAAGCCCAGGAAAGCTTGCAATTCAGTCTCGTTCCGTGGAGTTGGGGGCTTCCTGAATTGCCCTGACTTTGCTTTGGGTAGGATGTATGCCTTCCCCATTTATTCTGTACCCCAGAAACTCTACTTCAGGGACTCAGATCTAACATATGCTGCCCTTTACTTGGAGCCCTGCAGCCCTAATTTTGACAGCACCTCCCTCAGATGGGAATGAAGTTGCTGCTCATCACCAGCAGTAATTAACACATCGTCGAAGTATGGCACTACCCCAGGAATTTTCTGCAACAGCCTTTCCATCACACTCTGGAAAAGTCCCAGGGCAACGCTAACACCAAATTGTAAATAGTGACATTTGAATGCCCCCTGTGCGTTACAATGGTTTGGGCCTCAGCGGTAGCACCATCTACAGGCAGCTGCTGATACGCCTGTGTGAAGTCCAATTTTGCAAAAATTCTTCCGGGCCCCAGGGAATGCAAAAGGTGCAGAACTATGGGTACTGGGTACGCGCTCTACTGTAGTGCCTTGTTCAATGTGCACTTATAATCAGCGCAGATGCACACAGAACCATCACTTTTGACCAGTGTGACAATAGGGGTCTCCCACTTAGCATGGTCAACTGGCTCAAGTATGCCCTACCAGATAAGTTTAACTAGTTCCTTGTCTATCCTGGGTTTGAGGGCAAAAGGAACCCTCTGGGGCTTTAATCAAATTGGCGCTACCCTGAGGTCTAAACTAAATGAAATGGGAGTGCCCACATACTTGCCGAGTTCCGGGTTAAACATGTCTTGGAACTCCTGGATCAGGTCATCGGCCCATGAGCTGGCAATGGCATTGATGCCGGTCACTCCTAGTCCGAGGGACTCAAACCAGTCCAAACCTAGAGGTTTGGGAGGTCTCTACCAACAACTGTTAAGGACGGGTTACTCAGGAATTTGTTGAACTGGACCTTGAAGGTTCCGCAACCGATGACAGGGATCCGATTCCCCTGGTAGTTGCTGAGCCGCAAATGTTGGCGCTCTAGCTGTTTTTTCTGGATCCTTGGTACTGCAGCCTTCAACACCTGCCAGGAGATGATCATTACTGATGACCCTGTGTCAATTTCCATGTCACAGGGTGACCCTTCAATTTGCACAATAACATGTAATTTCTTCCTGCAGGGTGTGCTTGCCTGCCCTATTCTTGTTTGGTAGTTTGTTTCTGGTGCTCTCGCATTGACAGTTTCACGCTTTGGCTTCCACGTTTCCCACTTAGATAGTCTTGGGACCTCTGATTTAGGAACGTCTGAAGTGGCTTGGTGATTGATGGGCAGGTTTGCTCGGCAAACTCTCACCAAATGCCCCTTTTTATCACACCGGCGACAGATGGCATCCCTGTAATGGCAGGATGCTCTAGGGTGTTGATCCCCGCAGCTGGCACATGGTTGCCTTTTACTCTCTTGTTCTATGGGTCTCCTCCTTTCCATGTGATAGACCTCATTCTTGCTGCTTTTGGGTTCCTTGTCCTGATGACGGCTTTTATGTATTGTAGCTGTTGGTTTTGTTGCTGCCGTGGTGGTAGCAAGTTTCTGAAGGGACTCGGCTGCTCTGTTTGATGACTCAGTTGCCCTTGCTTCATCCAACGCGGCCTACAACGTCAGATTGGTCTTGGCCAAAAGTCTCTGCTGCAACTGGAAGTCTTTTACGCCACAAATTATTTGGTCAATTAAAATATTGTCCAAGTCTCTAAATTCACAGTGGGCAGCGGCTTTTCGTAGTGCAGCGATATATTGATTGATAGATTCTCCGTCCTGCTGCATTTGATGCCAGAATTCATAATGCCTCACTGTTTTAGATGGTGCAGGAGCGTAGTGGGTCTTTAGTGCATTTTTCAGCACTTGCCATGGTACAGATTGTACCAGAGTTGGTTTGGACAAGGATTCAGCGGTGTTGAATACGTCATGCCTGCAGTGGCTCAGGAACAGCGCTCTTTTCCAATTGTCCGACAACCCAAGAAAGTCATTCACTTCCATGAAGCACTCAAACCTCGTCATATAAGTGCCCCATTTCTCCTTCGCAGGGTCAAAGGGTGCAGGTGAGTGGAACGCAGACATGCTTGCACACAATTCCTTGTGTTAGAATTTGGCGCGCAAGATCGCCACTGTGTTCTGTCCCCGTCTCACACATGCACACCAGCAGTCGACCAAGAGTTAAAATAAACCAGCAGACAATAATTTCCCTTGATAACAGAATTGGCAGCAACCCAGTGGCTGCTTGCCAACAGTCTTTACTTACAAAGGGAGGTTTATCTCCTCCGACCGAAAACATCAAAGTCCACAAAAGCCAAAGAATAGTCAAGTCCAGTCCAAAAAATCAGTCCAAGCAGAGCATAAAACAAAGTTCCAAAAATGCAGAATGACTTGCTAGCTTTCCGTTTTATCCGTTACAAAGCCTGAATGGCCACCACACTCCCTTTTATCCCCTGTGGGATGTGGTCCAGTGACTCAGCTTAATCTCTGGCATGCCTCCTTCTCTGCTGCGTGTGCTTGTCTTTCCGACGCTGTCGGGGATCCAGCCAAGACTTATCTCCGTCGCTGTCTAACTGCAGCTGCTCGGAAGTGCCTGGCTCCTGGCCTATCTCTTCTCCTTCGAAGGACACCTGAGGCATTGCCAGAGAGGAGGGTCCTGGAGAGGGAGGCCTTGCCAACTCCTCTCCTTCACTTTCGGAGTCTTCTCCCTCCGATAAGATGGGCTCGGGGGTCAGAGTCACAACACTCTGTTTGCTTTTGCCGCCGGGCTGGATTGTCTCGTTGTCAGCTCTTTTTTGGTCTCAGTGCTTTTTCAGAATCCCACCTTCATCGCCAGTGTTAAGTAGGTAGATTGAAGAGACTGGAGACAGGCTTCAGACAACAGCTCTTTATTCAGCAACTATTTACAATCCAGCAGCGAACCTCTCTGACAGCCAGTCCTTTTATAGGGGGCTGTCACGAAACTCAGCTAATCATATTCAAGTATTCTTCCCACTCAAACAGCAGACCAGAGGGAAAACTTAAACTGTCAATATGTAACACCTGCAGTCTCTCGCTGCCGTGCAAACCCCAGCATGGACAACAGCAGCTGTGCCTTCTCCCTTCCAAAACATGCCGGGACAACACCAGCAGCAGGCAGAGGCAGCATTCCAATCAAAATTCTATGTGTGTATTTGTATGTGTGTGTGTGAGAGAGAGAGAGAGAGCACACTGCCACCAGCAGGTAACTCTCTGAGGTTGGATCGGATCTCTCTCTCTCGCATGCACACATGCACACACAGAAGGAAAGCATGAGCAACAGCAGTTGTGCCTTCTCCCTTCCAAAACATGCCGGGACAGCACCAGCAGCAGGCAAAGGCAGCGATCTGATCAAGAGCCCTTGCAAGGCCAGCAGCAGTAGGTGCAGAAGGGGGAGGGAGGAGCAGGCAATCTCAACGTGCTGCGGGCGGGGCTGGGAACACCTCCAGGGACAGAACGAGAGGCAGCTCCCAGCCCCACTCGCTGGCTCAGCTGATCCACGGGCCATGATTAAGGGGTCCAGTGGCCCCTTAATTGCAGTGCCTGGAGGTGTTTACAGGAAACACCCCCAGGCACCCAGAGAGACAAAATGAGAGGCAGCTCCCAGCCCTCACTGGCTCAGCTGACCCATGGGCTGCGATTAAGGAGGCAAGCAGCCATGAGGTGACCAGGGAAGGGAAGGGCTTCCTTTTGTGCTGACCACGCCCACCCCTTCGCTAGGTCTTATTTTCAGGGGAGGTCTTATTTTAGCGCATGTACTCAAAAGCCCAACTGGCCTTATTATCCGGAGAGGTCTTAGTTTCAGGGAAACATAGTAGTCTGTATATCAGTAAGAGTGGTTCATTCTTTGAAAATAACTTGGAAGAAGTGTTTCTGACCTTACACAAGCAGAGCATCTCCAGCATTCATTAAAACAACTTGGCATAAGCCTTAAAAAAAAGGTACCACTATCTAAAGTTTTTCAGGAAGCCTGAAAAAAACTTGGTCTGTTTTTCTAAATAGTAGAGAACTGTGGTTGTGTGAAATCAAAAGCACTTTCATTTCTGAAGCATGCACAACCCTAGTACTTTCACATACTCATCAAACTACATGCATATATCAGGGTCACAATGGAAGATTCATTTAAATCAATGTTACCTGTGCTTTTTTTACTTGGTCCTCCAATATCATTAGTGTAGATCATGGAAGAAGACGTGGACATGATGGCTGAAGAAATTGATGTTGAGTGCTGAGCATTAGATATTGTAGATGTTGTGGGATAAACGTCTGGAAAAGTACTAATAGGCTGGATAGAATGGTTTGCAAAATCTGAATTAATTGTTTCAACCAAGGTTGAAGGAACAAATATATTGGTTGACTTTGTAGGAAATCCAGAAGAAAGCTCAATTAAAGGATTACGAGTAACATTTATAGTAGAAATATTTATTGTTGCAGGCTCAGTGAAAGGAGGTGGCAAAACAGTTGTTGATTCAAAGGACAATTCAGAGGAAAAGTCTTCATGCTGCATTGTAAAAGAGGAAGGACCTACAGGTGAAACTGGAGAGTCAGGAGTACCATGACCACTACAGGCAACTGGTTCATGAATATCACTATAAGAAAAACAATATCAGCACTGATTTAGTTGCAGCTTATACTTTTAAAGGGATAAAGAAAAATCCAAATCTTTATCTGCCCCATCTCTTCAAAGACTAATGAATTTGATTATTATATTTGTATTTTATGCTTTTATTATTTTATTATTTTAACTATTTTTCATGAATACTGCACAGTATTATGGAGTTGGATAGCCTTCTAAAATTAATAATACTTTTATCATTTAAATAATCTAAAAGCCTATTTCTGCATGCCTTCAATAGCATTCTTTACTATATTTAATCATTAATTCTTATGTCAAGGGATTTGTTCAGTAAAAATATATACTAAAGGTTTTAGCTTTTCTATTGTCTCTTTTGAGTGGCATGTACAGGAAACAACAAAACTAGAACATTTCCTCACTGCGCAATCAATACCCAGATAAGCAGGGATAAACAATCAGGCAATAAACAATACCCTAATCAAAGAACTACCAATTCAGACAATCAGGTAAGCAGTAGCCAATAGCCTAATCAAGGAACTACCAAGGAGAAAACAACACTCCCACTAACAATGACAGAGCAAGCCACTTTATATAAACAGAGAGCAAACCCCACCCCTTTCTAGCCCTGAAAATGTTACCTAGTCCTGTAATGAAATGTCTGTATGCAAATAACAAAGTTCAGAGAAGCATCAAGCTCTCCACCATTCAGTCATCAGCTACATGTATTCTATTGGTATTGAAACTTGCAAAATATTCTGTCATCATACTAATTCCTCTCATATGCATTTTTAAAATTATGTTTAATATGCAATCAACTTTTAAATCCTTAATTTTATTTTAGAAAAGCAGTTCATTGGACTGTCTATTGGATAAGAAATTATCTCACCTTTATCCCATCATCAGTTTGTAAGACTTTATACTATGTTGTTTCCTAATTTTTCCCCCTCTCAGTGCTAAGAATTATGGTACACCAAATAAGAAGCATGACAAGTAAACTTCAAACTTTCTAAATTAAGCAGGCTACACTTACCACTGAAAACGGCGCAACTCTTGGGCATTTGGACAAGAAAAAGGCTGCATGGAACAGCAGCAAGATTCTGTAAACAATGAAGAATTATATGTACTTATATATTAATACTAGCTGGATACCCGTGCTTCGCTACAACACTATGTGATCGGGCTTGATAAATCAACACTTACAGGTTAAAAATTAATGAGTAGTTATTATTATTATTATTATTATTTATTAGATTTCTATACCGCCCTACTCCCGAAGGACTCAGGGCGGTGCACAGCCAAACAATAAAAACACATACAATACAAAATTTAAAAAATAGAATAAAATCAAATTAAATAATTTTGGCCCCGACAAATTTAAAACCCCAAACTTTTAAAACCAATTTAAAATTGAATATATAAATACTAAAAAATATTTAAAATTTTAAAAATCTTTTATAAAAGAGGGGGAAAATTAGGCCAGGCCGGCCTGGTGAAATAGTAAGGTCTTTAAGGCGCGGCGGAAGGTGCGCAGATCCGGGATCCTCCGTATCTCTGGGGGGAGCTCGTTCCAGATAGTAGGTGCCCCCACAGAGAAGGCTCTCCCCCTGGGGGCCGCCAGTCGGCATTGTTTGGCTGACGGCACCCGGAGAAGCCCCTCTCTATGGGAGCGTACCGGCCGGTGGGAGGCTATTGGTGGTAGTAGGCGGTCCCGCAAGTACCCGGGTCCTAAGCCATGGAGCGCTTTAAAGGTGGTAACCAAAACCTTGAAGCGCACCCGGAAGACCACCGGGAGCCAGTGCAGCTCGCGCAGGAGAGGTGTTACATGGGAACGCCATGTCGCTCCCATTACCACCCACGCGGCCGCACTCTGCGCCAGTTGGAGCCTCCGGGTGCTCCTCAAGGGGAGCCCCATGTAGAGAGCGTTGCAATAGTCCAGGCGGGAGGTGACAAGGGCATGAGTGACCGTGCGTAAAGAGTCCCGATCCAGAAAGGGACGCAACTGGCGAATCAGGCGAACCTGATGAAAAAATCCTCCCGGTCACGGCCGTCAAGTGCTCTTCTAAAGACAGCCGTGAGTCCAGGAGGACGCCCAAGTTGCGAGCCCTCTCCGTGGGGGCCAATGATTCACCCCCAATAGTCAGTGATGGCGTCAACTGACTATATCGGGACGTCGGAAACCACAGCCACTCAGTCTTGGATGGGTTGAGCCTGAGCCTGTTCCTCCCCATCCAGATCCGTACGGCCTCCAGGCACCGGGACATCACTTCAAGGGCATCGTTGGGGTGATCCGGGGTGGAGATGTACAGCTGGGTGTCGTCAGCGTACTGATGGTACTCCACCCCGAAACCACGGATGATCTCGCCCAGCGGCTTCACATAAATGTTGAACAGGAGAGGCGAGAGGACCGACCCTTGTGGCACCCCACATATGAGGGGCCTCGGGGTCGACCTCTGTCCCCCTGTCAACACAGACTGCGACCGGTCAGAGAGAAAGGAGGAGAACCACCGCAACACAGTGCCTCCCACCCCCAACTCTTCCAACCGGTGCAGCATGATACCATGGTCGATGGTATCAAAAGCCGCTGAGAGATCTAACAGGACCAGGACAGAGGAGCAGAGGACAGAGTTATAGGATAAGGGAAGCTTCTGTGGGGAAGGCTGTAGGAGAGGCCTCTCCCCTTCTCTCGCTCAGCCTTCCCCACAGAACCCTATCCTATCCTATCCTCTTCCTCAGCCTTGCCCCACAAAAACATCTCCTATCCTATTCCTTTCTTTCCCTCAGCCTTGCCCCACAGAAGCCTCCCATCCTATCCCCTTCTCTCCCTCAGCCTTGCCCCACAGAAGCCTCCCCTATCCTATCCCCGGTTGCTGGTGTGAAAGTAAAACTGAAAGTGAAACTCCTCTGCTTGTGTTTTGCATTCAGAACAGAATTCTTTTCACTAATGCTCTGATGGTCATTTTGAAAAATCCTTTCTTAGTGAGCATTAGAAGCCAAGAGGAACATACATGGCAAATTTCAAGTTTGTAAGCTTTACGGTTCTGGAGATTTCGTGATTACAGCATGAGTGGTTTTTGCTTTTATATGTATAAATTAATAAGTATATTGTTGTAAAGGCTATTAAATCCTTTGATGGACTAACTTCTGTTTGTCCTATAAACTATTAGTCTTACATAGGATCATTATGCAATCACCATTTCATGGAACTTCAAAGTGAAATTCCTCATTTAGAACTAGTTAGCTGTAATATCTAATAACTACTGATAAGATTAGCCTTCACTGTACATTAGCTTGTGATATCTTCAGTATGCAATTAACATCACTGTTATTTACTGTGTCCACTGTTACATCAGTACTCATAATAAAGTTAGTCTTCACAGATGAATCAAATGATGTTGCCATCATGTAGCGATCCAATCCACATGTATAATGAACAGGTTTGCAAGAGGAAAGCCTCAGCAGTCAATGGGCTGTCTTCCATTTCACTCAGGGCTCTTATACCTTATGTGTAATGCAGTACACACCAAGACCTTTATCCTGTTGTCCTCTGTGCTGAACCTGCTGGAATTTTCAGAGTACGACATTCAAATGGACAATGGGGTTATTTCTGTTTCCAGGGGAGTTCAAAACTCTTCCAAAACTCCTTCAAACAGCTGGGTAACTTTGCCCGCAGGTGCTGTGCTTTGCTGAACTATTCACACAGAACTACTAAACAGCACCACAAATATCTGTACAATTTGACATACAAGGAAACAATGGCTTTTGTATTTTAAAATGATATTCATAACTAAAAGAACTCAAAAATTATGTCATAGAATATGCAATCTTGAAATAAAAATCCTGCCTTGGGAGACTTCTGGTAGCTTTTTTCATCCTTAGTTTCAAAGATTGGGATAGATAAAACAAGCATATTGTTACCAAGTAGCTCTACAGCAAAATTCTACTCATAATTTTCTTACCGATTAGATTCAGTTCTGTTTTTTCTTCTAACTCTGATACTATGTTGCTTATATTCATTTCTTTCTCCAGTTCTATTATAAAAATACAGTTGACTACACTGCAAAGACAAGAAAAAAAGCTTAGGAGTTTTTAAAGCATAGAAATTATTAGTATACTGCTTCTGATTAAAAGTTTCAGTATTCTTAATACAAATAATGCAATAATATTTGAGAAATATAATAATACAAACCTCTGGTTTATTTCATTACACTGCATGAGAGATGACTATAAAAGAACAAATACAATGAAAATAAATTATTTGACCCCACTGAGATAGGCATTCTGTACAGGTAGTCCTCAACTTACAACAGTTCATTTAGTGACCATTCAAAGGTACATCATCACTGAAAAAAGTGATTTATGAATGTTTTTCACACAACCATTGCAGCATCCCTGTGGTCACATGGTCAAATACTTGGCAACTGACTCATATTTATGACGGTGGCAGTATCCCAGGATCATGTGATCACCTTTTGTGACCTAACAAGCAAAGTCAATGGGGAAGTCAGATTCACTTAACAACCATGTTACTAACTTAACAACTACAGTGATTCACTTAACTCTGGCAAGAAAGGTCATAAAGGTGATAAGTTCACTTAACAACTGACTTGCAACAGAAATTTTGGAGTCAATTGTGATTGTAACTTGAGAACCTGTAATAAAAAAGATATTTATATCTATACATATAATTATAGTATTATGTTATAGATTACTTACCTGACTTAGCCGTTGAAGTGTTTTATTGAAATCTGAAATACTAAAAGACAAGGTTACAAGTTTCATTTTCACTAGGAAACAGAGCAGAAGCCAAGTTCCACCAATTGCTCTGAACATGCAGTTATCAAGCTTCGAAGTGGATTCAAACTGCTTTCATTTTCACTGCCTCACAGCTTGCCAACTGACTAGGGGGAAGGGAGGAAGAGATTGGAATGTGCATTCCAGACGATAACAAGAAACGGTCTCATGAGAACCAAAGACATTACAACTGTGTTCACCAGATCTTTCCACAACAAGACCTGGACACCTCATTGGATAACGTGACCTAGACTCAAATATTTTTATGCTTGTAGAACACCTCTATATTTAAAGTATCGCAAATTACTCTCTTAAAATAAAGTAGAATAAATAGATTTGGAACAAGAAAGTAGATCAGTAGACGGAGAAAAAAGGAGTGGAAACAAATCAATAACTGTAATTAATACATGGTATTGTGGAAACATTTTTTTAAAACGTTAAACATAATGAGCATGACAACAATGGTCACGAAAATAGGAAAAAAAACATCTTTGACGATGGCATCTCCATCGGGACAGCGCTCAGTGGAAAGTATACTGGGCGGTGAGAAATCAGGTTCTTCATTGAACCTACAAAGTGTGCAGTCAATGCTGATGATGATTCAAGAAACAATGATGAAGACGCAAGAAACAATCACGAGAAACCATGAAGAAATAAAGATGAAATGGGAGAGGTGAAAGGAGACATCCGCAAATTAGACGATAAAATTGATCCAATACAGGAGACGATAGCTAGAAACGAACAGAAGATAAAGACAGTGGAAGCTAGAACAGAACAAACGGAGAAGAAATTGGAGGAGAAAGAAGCTAAATTGATGATGGTAAATAGAAATCTGGAGGAGGCTGTAGTACTTTTGGAATTGGAGAAATCAGCATTTTTCCTAAGATTCCAAAATATAGTGGAAAGCAAAGAGGAAGATCTTCCAAAACTGATGGCAGAACTACTAGCTGATCCAATTGCAGAAAAATGTACAAGAAATGCAAAACGATATAGATGAAGCATACAAGATTCATACCAATTACGCCCATCGCCACAAACTGCCTAGGGAAGTCCATATAAGATTTACAAGAAAAACAATTAGAGACGAGGTTTACAGTAAGACAAGAGATGAACCATTAATCTATAAGGGAAAAGAAATTCTAACTTTGAAGCAAGTACCAAGAAGAGTAAGGGAACAAAGATGGAGTTATCACTTTTTATCTTCACAACTATTTAAATACAAAGTACTATTCAGATGGCTCATACCGGAGGGTATGTTAATTACGTGGCAAGACAAGAAATTCCAAATAGACACCTTGGACAAGGCACAAGAGTTCTACGACCATTATATAACCAGAGAAGAAGAACAAGATAGTAAGGAGGAAATAGAAAATAAAAGTCAAGAAGATCAGGTATCAGAAAATATCCGAACAAGACATAAGAGAATGGATGGAAATGGAGTGTTATGAAAGGGAAGGAGCCAGGACAAGAGCACAAAGGGAGATAAGAGCTAAGAAAGGAACAAAATCTACCGACAAACAGTAAGATGGAAGAAGGAATTCAGATGATATCACTTAACATCAACGGTATGAACTCTCCGGCCAAATGAAAACTAACACTGATAAATCTTCAAAGACAAAATATGGCTATTATTTGTTTGCAGGAGGTCCATATTAAGAAAAAATACAGCAGTATTCTAGAATCCTCTAAATTAGGAAAATTTCATCTGGCATTGGCATCCAAAAAGAAAAGAGGAATAGCAGTGTACATAAAATAATGGTTAAACCCGAAACAAATTTATGTGGATGAAGATGGAAGAATTTTAGTAATAGAAATAACAACAACCCAAAAACGAATGCTCTTAACGGTAATATACACACAAAACACAAACCAGAAGAAATTTTATCACAAACTACATCAGAAAATAATAGAGTTAGAATGGGATAATTTATGCGTAATGGGTGCTTTCAACGCAGTGGTGGACAACAAGAGAGACTATATTAGCAAAAAAAAAAAAAAAAAAAAAAAAAAAAAAAAAAAAACAAGAAGAAAAGAAGACAATTACCAAATACATTCTCAGAAATGATGCAAGAGCTAAATCTCAGAGATGTATGGAGAGAAAAATCCAAAGAAGAAACAATATACTTTTTTCTCTAATCCACACAACTCTTGGTTGAGAATTGATATGGCATGGATAAATCCGGAACTGATTAGTGAAATTGAAGAAATAGAGATACTACCAAATACATGGGCTGATCACAATCTATTGACAATAAAATGGAAGCGATAAAAGAAAAAAACGAGATGGATGTTAAATCAGAGGATACTAAAAGAGAAAACATTTGTGCAAATGATGAAAAAAGAGTTTGGATTTTTCTTTACAGAAAACCGGAAAGAACAAACAACATTACAAAATTTATGGGATACAACAAAAGCGCATATTTGAGGTTTAACAATAGCCTATACATCGAGAAGACATAAGGAAAAGAAAAACCAACAAAAGATGTTTCAGGAAAAAGTTAAAGAATTGGGATGTGTATTGCAAAAAGAACCACAGAATAATAAAATCAAAGAAGAATGAGACTTAGTGAAGCACAAACTTAATTTAGCACTACAAGAAGAAATGATACGTAACCTTAAAACAATAAAACAAAACTTTTTTAAGTAAGCGAACAAACCAGGGAGATGGCTATCACATAAACTTAAGAAGGAGAGAACGAAAAAATTAATACAACAATTACAGGATGAGGACGGAAATCTCCATTACCAATCAGAGGGGGAAAAGTATTATTCAAATTTTTTTTAATAAATTATATAGTCAGGAAGATATTTCAGAAGAAAACATCAAGCAATACTTAGAAATGAGGGATTTACCAAAAATACTGGCGGAAGCTAGGAAAATGCTAAATGATAGATAACTCTAATGGAGATGAATAAAACACCAGGACCAGATGGGAGAGATATACAAAAAATTTCAGGAGCCATTGGAGGGGATAATGCTAGAATTGTATAAGGAAGTGTTAGAGCGAGCTAAATTACCAAATTCATAGACTGAGGCATTTATAACGCTAATACCCAAAGAAGATACCAATACAAAACAGATTAAAAATTATAGACCAATTTCATTGCTAAATGCTGATTATAAAATAATTGCTACGATTATAGCGGAAAGATTTAAAAAAATATTGAATGAAATTATCCACCCTGACCAAAATGGATTCCTCCCTAAAAGACAATTAAGAAATAACACAAGAAAGGTCATGAACATATTAGCAGATTATGAAGCTCACCCTGAAAAACAGATCGTGTTAATTTTTGTGGACGCACAAAAAGCCTTTGATAAGTTAAATTGGAAATTCCTCATTACCCAATTAATTAGTATGAACTTTGGGGAAAAATTTGTAGGGATGATTAAGGTGATATATTCTGATCAAATTGCTAAAACAATAGTAAATGGGGACCTAACAGAGAAAATTAGTTTAAATAAAGGGGTTAAACAGGGATGTCCACTATCCCCTCTACTTTTTATCCTATTATTAGAAGTGTTGCTAACACAGATTAGACAGAAACAGGAAATAAAAGGATTAAGCATTAAAAAAGAAGAATATAAAACACAAATGTTTGCAGATGACTTGGTCTTTTTTATAGAAGAACCGTTAGAAACAGGAACTGTATTAATACAGGAAACAGAGGATTTTGGCAAAGTAGCAGGATTAAAAATAAAAAAAAATAAAAAAAAACCAAAGATATTAACAAAATCTTACACATAATCAAAATGAGAAATTGGAAGGGAAATTGGGAATTCAAATAGTAAAGAAAGTAAAATATCTCGGAATTTGGTTGACAGCGAAATGTTCTTCAATAAAAGAGAACAATTAAACAAAATGATTACAACAAATACAAAAGGATTTGGAAAATTGGGTGAAACTACAGTTATCATTAATCAGAAGAATTGCGACAATAAAGATGAATATTTTACCTAAAATACTATTTTTATTTCAAACGGTACCAATAAAACCTGGGAAAAACTTTTTTGTAGAATTAAATAAAACAATCTTAAAATTTATTTGGTTAGGGAAGCAGGCTTGAATAAAGTTTAAACTCTTACCAGACAGTAGAAGTAAGGGAGGTTTTCGACTTCCAGATTGGGAACTTTACCAAGTGGCAGGTGTAACATAGCTCAAGGAATTGATAACTCTTAAAAATAAGAGGATATTAACAAAAGAAGGCCATGATTTACAGCTTGGTTGGCATGCGTTCATCTGGGAGGGGAAAAATAAATCTCATACATATTTCCAGAGACATCAGATAAGAGACACATTACTAGACATTTGGGGAAAAATAAAGAGAAATCACTATACAAAAATTCCGAAGTGGTTATCAACCATAGAAGCCATGATATACCCCAACGTCTTAGACTGGAATAATGTGGTTACATATAATGAGTATTGGATGGACAAGGATTATTAAAATCTAATCAAGAATTAAAATCTCAAGGACTAGAAATAGATTGGTGGCCATATTTACAGATTCAAACAAGATATAAAAAATATTTACAAAATTATGGCTTCCAAAGAGAATAACAAGAATTATTATTAGGGACAAAGGAGAAAATGATAATCAAAACTTATAATTGTCTTTTAAAATTTAAAATGGAGGAGGAAACAGTAAAAGAAACTATGATAACTTGGGCCAAACATTTCGGATACAATATTGATTTGGAACATTGGGAAAAAATATTGGAGAAAAACTATAAATTAACGATGTCGGCATCATACAAGGAAAACATCTATAAAATGTTTTATCGTTGGCATTTACCACTGGCAAGGCTGGCCAAAATGTACTCCAATAGATCACCAAACTGTTGGAGATGCAACTACAACCAAGGGACATTTTATCACATGTGATGGACCTGCCCGAAAGCCCAGAAATATTGGATGTAAATCAAAAAAAGATTAGAAGAAATTACAGAACAAAAAATTGAGATGAAGCCAGAGCTGTTCTTATTGGGTTTTATAAAAGGAAGTATAAGTAAAAAGTTTCAATATA